TTAAGTAAGGGCAGTTTAGTCTTTGTAAAGGTTATTAGAACTTAATAACCTTTAGGGGGTCGATTGAACAATGTACGAATCAGTTTTGACTAAACCCTCCTGTTCTCTCTTTCTCTTTTCTTCTTCATCTTCTTCTTCCTTCTCTCCTGGTTCGGGTTACTGTAGCTGCATTCGAAACAAGCCTAATCTCTCAATTATCATAATTTGGAGGTGGAAGGAGATACCCAAATTGTTGTAGGATGGCTAGGGAAAAGTGATACAGGATTATGGGCTTACATATGCATCATGAGGGAGATTAGGCTGCTGGCAGAGGAAGGAATTGATTATTTGGTCCCTGAGGGGATCTACAAAGAAAATAGATGGGTGGCTAGTGGTACTAGGCCAAACAAAGGAGTGTATCTGGGACATTACCATGTTAAAACGTTTCTCTTTAACACATCAACAGAAGCTATTACATTTACGGATAGAAAAATCCAAATATATCTGCATGCATATGTGTGTGTGTGTGTATGTGAGAGAGAGAGAGAGAGAGTAAACCAAAAAGAGAAATAAAAAATTCTACAAATATATGGGGGCTGAAAATAGCTCAAGAATATTAGGGGTGCAAGTCGGATACCCAATTTGAAGAATTTACACTGTATTGGGCTTGAGGCCCATTCAAATTTTAACAAGATGCCAACCTCAGCCTACCGAAGTTGCACCCCTAAAGAATATCATGATGATTACACCTCAAAGAGCATGGAGATTGCATGGAAGAAGACAAATGATATTTTATACTTCCATTCACCCCCAATAACACCACTTCTTAATGGAAATAAGAAATAAAATAATTACCATTAAAAGAAGCTTCTGGAAAGTGATTTGCTGCTGTTGAGCCTCAACTGATGACATTGCTGCTGTTGCTTCTTTTCCCAAAGCCATCATAGCAGATTTTAGCTCAGACAATTTTGCTTCTGCATTTTGAAGCTTTGCATCACTATCTGAAGAAGCTCCCCCCTCCCTTCTTGATCGCCGTCTTAAGACTTCAACTGCCTGATGAGTACATATTTATAACTTATTTACCACATTTCATATTATAATGCCCAGATGCACCAAAGACACAGATGGACATGGTTCTACTACACTACGAATACCGAACATAACAAGGCAGCCATGTAAAGGTATCCAGTATCATAGAATTCATTTCTTTAGCAGAAAAATAATTTATATGCAAAAGTAGTACCTGAGCTTCCACCTCTTGGCGGATTCTTTCATAACGGTGTGTCAAGTGGCGAGCATCCTCTAAAGGAGCTCCAGTTATTAATGCCCGTAGTGGCTCAGAGACCTACATATAGAGAAAGGAGTTCTAAAATTAAAATAACGGCATAAGAGATGAAGAAGGATAAAGTTTTTAAGATATCAAACAATAATTGAAAGGAACCTTAACGAGTAACCATTCTTTGTATTTTTTAGGTATGTGATTAGTATCTGAGTATAATGTTAGATTCTAGGAATTTATTTGGTTGGATGACATAAATCAACATAAAAAATTTCCTAAGCTTTATAGAATACCCAACCACTATGCTCTGCTCATTGGTTCTTGTAGAATCATGATGAGTCTGAGTTCTGTTGGAATTTTGGCATTTTCACAAGGGTTCAAGAGACTCAGAAAGCAGTAAGGTCACTCCTATTTTTTAATAGATAAGAAGTTTCCACTTCTTCTCAAGGTTTTAATTTTCAGGTTTAAGATCCCAAGTCTAAAGGGGTTTTCTCTTTGGTCTCTTTCTTGAAATCCCTTTGCAGTGGAATTGTTCGTCCCTTGAATTTCCCTTATAAGGTTCTCTTTAAGGCCTCTATCCCTCCTAACATCAGAGCTTTCTTTTCTGAGGCAACTGTTAGGGTAGAGATGAAGTTTTCTTCCTCACCATAAGTAGGTAAGTTACTCTTCTCTATCTTTCTCTTTTTCTTTTTCATTCTTTATTTGTTCTTCCTTTCTTCTCCTCTCTTTCTCTGTTGTTGTTCTGTTACTCAGCCATGTTTATTGAATCCATACAATTGTATGCACACTTGCAGTGCTTATTGGCATGCGTTCTATATTAAAACTGTAATCATTAGACATGCCTCTATCCTTTTCCTTTTTTCTCTTTTTATGCATGTATATTCATGTGCTATCTAAGCAAAGCATGTAATTTGTCATAAAGAATTCTATTTGCAGTGAATAGGGTGGAATGGCAGAACCAGAATCATGTTGACCCATGGTTGGTACAAAATTTTGTTGAGTCAAGTTGAGTTAATAATTCCATTTGTAATGACTAAGGCAATCAAATCCTATGCCTTTGCATTACTAAAACAATTAGACAAATGAAAGAAGTGAATAAATAACCTGATCACCAAGAATCTCAAGCAAATGTTCCCTCTCTTTTTCAATTGAAATGTGTGAAGTACCAAACTGAAGTGCAGCCCTTGAAAGAGAAAAGCCGGAACCTTGATTTTCATTTCCATATCTGCAACAATCTTCTGCCAGTTTTTTCCCTAACAAGTGAAATTTCAAAAACTTATATACCTTCTGATGAAGAAGAGAACCATGCGATTGTGAAGCAAAACCATATTCACCTATTTCCATTTGCTTCAAGCTTGTTGTTATAAAATTTTCAACACCCCGAACAAGATCCCTTTGAAAATGCTGCACAAATAGAACTGCTGATATCATCCGATCTGATGAATATCTGCTTTATAACATTTTTGCAAAAGAGGATGTTGCCCATAAAATTAGAGCAGAGTGGTTAAAGTGGAGAGGTGTGCTGTGCTATGACCAACATATACCAATGAAACTAAAATGAAATTTTTCTAAGGCAGGAATAAGACCAGCAAAATTATATGGAAGAGTGCTAGGATTGGATGGGAATTGGATAAGTTGGGTTAAATGAAGGTTGAAAATCATTCCTACCCACTAACCACCCATATCCATTATTGACCCTAATGGCAACCATGCATATTGATTATAACCCAACCTCAACTTAAAACCCCTGGAAATTGACAGTTATAGCAGTCTGTTTCTTATCTAAAGGGGCCTACCGTTTAGATAATTTGATATGATGCTAAATGGAAGACATGTTATAGATACGTTATGGTCAACAATGACCTTGATGCTGATAGGCCCCACACCTTGTACTGCCTAATATTATTTTCTATCATGGTTCACTACTATGGAACAATGGGACATGGAAAGATGTTCCCATCATTTCAATATTCTTATGAGATTCAAAGAACAACAAATTTCAGATGTCATTCTCCATTTCTAACTGAAGTGGTAAACCAGGTTAGCTCCGATTCTCTCACATAAAGACTCAGAGTTGATTTTTTTTTCTTGAAATGGTAAAATACTGTATTAGTATAAAAAAAGAGTGGATACAGCTATAGACCATGTATACCCATTTTATTGACACGACTCAGAGAGTCAAAGTTAATCTTTGATACCTGGCAATTTCAATTGGATACAAAATCCTCACCACATACCATGTACACCTATTTTGTGTATCAAGAGTTTCAGTTCCCCCAAACTTTTTCTTTTTTTACTTTTTTGTTTGACATTTTGATAGGGGTCATGTCAAATCATGTCAATATGCCATATTGGTGACCCTTAGATATGATACCATACGCCCAAGATGGGGTGTATCATATCAATACTTTGGACCTTGATGTACACATGGGAAGATTATAATTTTTCAACTAAAAACATTTATGACCACAAAAAAAAATTGATGATGTCTACATGTCACTACAGTCATGCATGGATATTAGCCTGGATAATCACAGTACAAAAGATGGTGGGTCCACCCATCACACAGGAAAACTTACAATCCATGTAACCAAATCTCTGTCATTCAAGCGAAAGATGTGAACTTTTCTCTTATAAAATGACAAATATGGATGCTATATACTTATCTTAAGCTGTCACAACTACAATATGTATTTGGAGACATCCAATGGGTACCCATGATACAACCCAACCCATAAACTCAACCTAAGTGGGGGTTGTCAACCCATAATCAACCCTCTAGGTAAATGAATGGATTTGGATTGATTGGACGAGTCATGTGCATTGGATCAGATTGTCAGAAATCGCCATCCCTAACTAGGAAATCAAGGAAGTAAGGAATAACATCTCCAAATCGCCACCCCTAACTAGGAACCCTTGGAATTGAAGGAAATTATGACAGGGCAGAATAGATTTACTTGGGCCAATTGTCAGGAAAGCCCTATTCTATCTAAATTAGATAGATTCCTAGTGTCACAAGACAGGGAGGATCATTGGGGGAATTTCCCAGGAAGGATATTACCTAGACTCATGTTGGACCACTGGCCAATTTGTCTTGATCAAGTGGGTAATGGGGGTGGGCCAAAGCCATTTCGGTTTGAAAACATGTGGCTTATAGTTTCGGGCTTTGTGCAAACATGTGGATCCCAGGAATTAAAACCTTTTGTAAACATTTTGAAACCATAATATATATATGTATATCTCTATATAAATATATTTTGCAAAAACAAATTTCAATAGTTGAAATCAATTGTTGACAGTTTAGGTTTCCATCAGAGAGAGTGCATCCCCGATCATTCACTTTGTTTGACAAAGGGGTTGATCCTGTCACTATGATAACCCACTCAGATGCATTCTCGGACTGTCCCAACATACCCTGGTTTTGACCCCCTCTAAGGATCTCACTGATTGGCATATCAAAGATAGCCCAATCCGACACCTAGTGTAGTACCATAATCAAGGCTAGGGGTCAGGTGTAACATTCCAGTTTTGCCCATCGATCTCCAAGGTCCAGGGCAACACTGAAATTTTGGTCTGGTTTAGGGTTTCAAGAAAAACCCACACTATATGTACCTCAAGTCTCACCCTGACAGCTGAGACAAGCCACCCTAACCAACTTGGCGCATCAATGTCAGTCTTGGCAGGTTTAAATCTCCCCAGATTTATCCAACAGCTGTGAAGATTCTAAACTAACACGAGTTTCATAAGTGTCCAGTTTAAGGGTATTACATAGAAACATACCATAATGACATGAATCAATTATGTACTTTATTCATTTACAATAAATGTCAAAAGATACATCAATCTGATTGGAGCTAAGGGCATACACTGTCTAACAACTCCCACTTGCATTTAGGTCCAATCGGGTATAAGTCGGAGTCCCATACTTTCTACGTGTTTCTCAAACACTTTCTGTGTTAGTGGCTTAGTCAATGGGTCTACCACATTCTCCGCCAATGCTACCTTCTGAATCAGGACGTCCCCTCTTCCAACTATCTCCCACAGTACATTGTACTTCCTCTCGATGTGCTTCGACTTCGAGTGGGCTCGTGGCTCCTTAGCCTGAACAATGGCTCCAGTGTTGTCACACAACAATGGAATGAGTGATGTGTTGTATGGAACTATCTTAATTCCTTAATGAACTTCTTCATCCAAACAGCTTCCTTGGCAGCTTCATTTGCGGCAATGTATTCGGCCTCGGTTGTGGAATCTGCGATGGACCCCTGTTTGCTGCTTTTCCAGCTAACAGCATACGATCCTATCGTGAAGATATAACTAAATGTAGACTTTCTATCATTTGGATCCGATTGGAAATCGGCATCAGTATACCCCTAGATCTGTAGTGAACTACCATCAAATACCAAACAAAACTCTCTTGTCCTTCGAAGGTATTTTAGTATGTTTTTCATAGAGGTCCAATGCTTCTGCCCTGGGTTAGATTGGTATCTGCTTACCACACTCACTGCTTGAGAAATGTCAGGACGAGTGCACAGCATGGCATACATGATGCTCCCTACGGATGAGGCATAGGGAATCTCTTTCATGCCCTCAATCTCTTCGGGAGTCTTGGGAGACATACCCTTGGAGAGAGTGACTCCATGCTTGAAAGGAACATTTCCTTTCTTGGAGTTCTCCATACTGTATCTCTTGACTATCTTGTCAATGTAAGCAAATTGGGATAATCCTATTATCCTCTTCAATCTATCTCTATAGAGTCGAAGACACAATATGTAGAGGCTTCTCCAAGATCTTTCATGGAGAATTGCTATGAAAGCCACACTTTCACCGTATTTAACATTCCTACATCATTCCTAATGAGTAGAATGTCATCTACATACAGAA